TGATATACACCTGAACATCAGCAGGAGAGGACTCTTTAAAGTAGAGACACTACATACTGATATACACCTGAACATCAGCAGGAGAGGACTCTTTAAAGTAGAGACACTACATACTGATATACACCTGAACATCAGCAGGAGAGAACTCTTTAAAGTAGAGACACTACATACTGATATACACCTGAACATCAGCAGGAGAGGACTCTTTAAAGTAGAGACACTACATACTGATATACACCTGAACATCAGCAGGAGAGGACTCTTTAAAGTAGAGACACTCCATACTGATATACACCTGAACATCAGCAGGAGAGGACTCTTTAAAGTAGAGACACTACATACTAATATACACCTGAACGTCAGCAGGAGAGGACTCTTTAAAGTAGAGACACTACATACTGATATACACCTGAACATCAGCAGGAGAGGACTCTTTAAAGTAGAGACACTCCATACTGATATACACCTGAACGTCAGCAGGAGAGGACTCTTTAAAGTAGAGACACTACATACTGATATACACCTGAACATCAGCATATTATGCACTCTTAAAACCTTGTACCAAAGATGAAGGAAAATCTCTACCACGTAGTTGAAAAATGACAAAACACAAGCCCCCCAGAGTGTGGTTGTGCAGATCTAATAATATTCTCTTTATATTTCTCAAAAGGTTTTCAGGGATGTAGAAAATTGCATCCACGCCAATAACACACCTTTGGGTCTCCCTGTGCCGAGGCGCAGAGGAAGGTGCTGTGGAATTGTTATGTAAAGCCATGTCAGATCGCATTGTCTAGGCCACACTTAAAATTGTCAGACAGGACTGAGATGAAGAGGAGGCACAGGAGGAAGAGGAGGGTTATATTTAGAGATGCTACTGTGAATAAAGCAGGAGGAAGAGGAGGCGGAGGGAGGAACCCCTGGCAGCAGAGGAAATGTCATGGTTAGGGTTCAGTGAAGTGGTAAATCAGGAGCATCAGCGTGTCGGGGCGTTTAAGGGTGAGCTGGAGAGGAACAAAGAAACGCTATATGATCAGTTATTGGCCCTGTGAGCAAAGGGAAGGTAAGAGTAACACCTGCACTCTGTCACAGGGATTTAGAGCTCACACAACACATGCACAGTGCACCAGCCTGTGTGCTGTTGTCCAAACACATCTCACATTCAGGGACAGCTCCTTGAGAGTCGCCCGTAGAGGGATATTCTGTGAGGTAAGCAGAACAGCAAAGCGCAGCACGGCAGTGTCTCCAACAGAAGGGTTTTATTTGATACAATAAAAACAGCAAGCACAAAAAAAAAATGCAGATGTAAGCCCATAAAGGGCGGCGTAGGCACAAAGACGTGTAAACAGATCTCCATGCATCCATAAGCAAAGCTGGAGCAAGAGACCCTCAGAACCTCGCTTTGACACACTGCTTTTAGAAATCATTTTACATTTGATAAGTAAAGTATGTGAAATTCCTTCACTGCTGAGAGCTGAAACAGCGTTACTGAAGCAGCCGCCTCTGACTGATGAAATCTTAAAGCCTGATCATGCTCAACAGCAAATTAAATCACACAAACACAAATTAAATTGTTAACTCATTATACCCGAGGCCACACATTGTTATTCCTGTCAGACAACTTGTTTGAGATGTGAAGGCTGCTTCGTTTGTTTGTTTGTTTGTTTGTGACTGTCAGCACAGGAAGCCATATTTACCAGACACTAGCTGCACTTTTATGGTAGCATACTAGTAGAAGAAGAACCATTGTATATTCCGCTAACAGAAAGCTTGAAGGTTTTTCTTTCTCACAACAAAATAGAGCTATTGTGTTCAGCACCCCGGCTGAGGAAGCCTACCTGCATATCACTTTTGCAGCCCTCGACACCAGAAATACCAAACGTTTGAAACTAAATGGTGTGCAAAGGCTAAAATCCCCGTGTTCCCTCCAGAGGGAGTTTCTCTCCCACACAAACCTTGTATGTTTCTCTCGCTCTCTAACCTCTATTGTTCCAGTACAAATATGTCAACGCTGCCCTGTCCTTTAAACAAACACAAAGTCATCGTGCCGCTCATCACTCAGACGGCTGCTTCTCGTTTCCTTGAAGGAGGACGGATTACTTTTACCTCGAGAGCCAGCGATGGTTTGTTCCATCTGTCCTCTTTCGGACCAAAATCCTCTGACTAATATGCAATCCCTACATGTAGGCCAATGGATTGTGATAAGCACACTTAGCCAACTGTGAGCACATTTGAGGATGCACGGGAATCTGTGGAAGATCAAACATTGTTGACTAGTAATGTAATGCACTCTATGCGACAGTATCTTGTTATTTATTTTATTTAAGTATTGCCTGTTCTGCAAAACCCTCTGAATATTTGTACACAAGCTAACTGTCAGTATACACAGCTTTCCACTTGAACAATACTGCACATATTTATTTAGTATTTAGTTATAGTATACTTAACGTCATGTAAATATGTGTCCAAATCCTATATGTATAATACATTTTGTTATCGTTTTTTTATAATAGTTATTATTTTGTGGTTGTTTTTCTGACCTTGTATCTTCTTTAACTGTGAATGCACCAAGACACATTCCTCCTATGTGTACACCTACTGTTTCTGATTCTTTCCTTTATGCAGATTCAGAGAGGTTTATCTTCCAAACACTCCACAGATACAAAGATTGATGTGTCCGGTTCACAGCAGCCTGCAATGTCCCTGTCCAAACTGATGTCCCAAGAGAACATCACAGTGTGTCCCTTAGAAAGCCGAGCTGCTGTCAGTCCAACAGAAACACCTGCAGACAGACACATTCATAGAGCCAGTGAAAGTTAGGGACTACTTCAACTTCTAAATGAAGTGTTGGAAGACACTGACATGTGAAAAGGAGGAAAGAGGATGCTGGGAGATGGAGGATAGCGGACCCTTAGGGGTAGGGCTGTGCGATTATGGCAAAAATCATAATCACGATTATTTTGGTCAATAATTGATATCACGATTATTAAATACGATTATTCATGACTTTGAAAACATCCATTTATTGCACTTTTAAATACAAATAATAATTTGAACAGTATCTTTTTAACTGTTGATTTCCCTGAACGTATAATTCAACTGAAAAACCAACACAAAAATAAATAAAATGATACATTTATATCTACATTTAAATAAATAATATAAAAATAATAAATACCAATAAACAAGATCAACAAATATTTTGGGGCGCACTTCCACAAGCTACTAAACATATATAAATATGATAAATACATTTGATCAAATATGTTGCAGTGCACTGTCACAACCTAGCAAAGCAAAATAATCGTTTTTTTCGATTATGTTGTTTTCGTAATTGTGGCAGGCCAAAATCGTAATTGCGATTAAAATACGATTAATTGCACAGCCCTACTTAGGGGTGTCAAACATACGTGACTAAACGTACAAACATACCTGAGGGACAAAACTGGTCTTTTAACTGCAATATTCACAACTTCTATGTACACATTTGATTTACATGGAGGGGGTAACTGGACCTTCTTCCTTAACAGTTCCCACTTTAGTGTGGTATGCTGGTGTGTTGTCGTGGTTACTACACAGGTGTGGGAATGAATGTGAAATCATTTATAGATCCTGACTTCATCATAAAGTAAAAAACGATATTGCTCAGTTCCAGATACCGGGGACTAAATGTCGTTGTAGCTACTCTGTGATCTGTTGTAAGGCAGATGTGTAAATGGTAAACTAAAACAGTTGCACTTATCTTTCATGAGAAATGTCAGGTTGTTCATAATGTTTTATTAAAAGATAGTTCGTTAAATGTGAGCCTTTCAGAATGTATGAAGCAAAACAAAGGGAACCATTTGTAGTTATGTATAGTTTATTATTAAGCTATGATGTTACTGCTCAGACCCTCTGGAGATCACATTGGTCTGAATGTGGCCCCTGGACTAAAGATGAGTTTGAGACCACTGCATTAAAACACGAGGTAAACAGTGCAGTGTGGAGAACAGGAACACACAGCATTAACAGCAGCGTCCCCTCACACCTGCGCAGGGACAGTGTGTGTGCATGCATGCGTGAGAGAGTGTGTGTGCAATTACATTTGTATCACGCGTGTCAATGACAAGATTGCTATGAGAGTTAATTGAGCCTCGTGGAGGGTTTGCAAATGTAAACGCATAATGTGAAGCACTCTAATATTATTGAAATGCATTAACAATTTCACACGCTGCTTGAAAATGAAATGAAACCAGAACGAACACACACACACACACACACACACACACACAGAGAGAGAGAGAGATCCATACAAATGGAATTCCCTCACTCAGTGCCGCCTCCTCCTCAAACTTTCTGCGTACCACCCCCCACCACACACACACACACACATTCATGACAAATACGCAATGAAAGCACGCTGCAGGAATCTGTAAAGCTACATCACTGACACACCAATCTAAGCCCCTCACTCTTTAAAAGCTGCACAATCTCAGGGAAATAACTCCCACACCTGCAGTCAGACACACACACACACACACACATTATATATTATGTGGTATTGTTGGAGATCCCTGGGACTGCACTGTAGCTACTGTGCATGTCACAATAAAGCCTTTGAACACACACACACACACACACACACACACACACACACACACACACACACACCTTTTTTAAATGTGTTTTATTGTGTTATATATATTATGTTGCATTGTTGGAGACCCCTGGGACTGCACTGTAGCTACTGTGCATATCACAATAAAGCCTTTGAATTTATAAATACAGGCACGCACACACACACACACACACACACACACCTGCCAAACACATAAACAAAATGCATGCATGCACGTGTGTGTGCACCAGAGAGGACGTGCACTGCCTCTCTCTCCGTCTCTCCGTCCAGCTGACAGAAAGTAAATACTGGTTGCCTTCTGCACAAAATCAAAACAGATACTTGTGTGATGTTGAAACCCTGGGCTTGTGATGCTGAGAGGAGGCTGAAACTGAGTCACACATACCTCATCTTTCTCCCCCCTCTGTGGCTCCTCTCCCTCCCACAAACGCTCCTCTTCTCCTCCGCTATTCCTTCACGTTTCCTCCATCCCTCCGGCGTTCATGTTTGCTCTTATCCCCACCTCTCGGTCACAGCCTCACACCCCTCTGTTTGCAGTCCATCTGTCTCCCCCTTTCCCTCTCCCCCTGTCCTCTCTGCTTTGTATCTTCTTCTTGTTCTATCTCCCTTCCTCCCGTGGATTCCTGGCTTTCACGTGGGAACCTTTCCGTCCATCCTGCTGCCTCGCTGCTGTCTGTAAGTGGAAGTGAATGGACAGGAGGGGGAGCAAGAAGACAAGAGTGAGCAAACAGCCAGTTATCCTCTCACTTCCCCCCGTCTTCCCTCTCTCCCCCTTTCTCTCTGCGTCTCTCCATCATGACCTCCCCTCTGTGTCGCCATGCAAGCCCCTGTATCCTTGTGAGGGAGGGAGGGAGGGAGGGAGAGGTGGAGCTATAGTGAGTCGGTCTAATTAAAAAGCAGAGTATGTACAGCTGCAGAGAGGGGAGGAGAGAGGGGAGGAAAGGGGGCGGGACTAAGGGACAGAAAGGGGAGGAAATGAGCGGCGATTGAGAGGGTTACTTTAAAAAGTAATCTGTTACAAGTTACATGTCCAAAAATGTATAAAAAGGCATAATAAAGGGACTTCAAATAAAAAAATAAAATCTAGTCTTTGAGTATCAAAATAAAAAAGTAATCTGATTGCTTTATTTTAGATTACCTCAATATCAAATCAATGCAAATAAAAACAAGAGAAAATAAATAAAATAATGTTTATCTTAAAGGTGGGTAGGTAATTCACTTCAGAAACACTTTTTGTTATATTCCATGGAATGCTCTTAACATCCCGATAGCAATGAATATATTAAAGGTGGGGTAGGTAATTTTGGAGAAACCAGCTCGAGATCGCTAGAATTTGAAAATACACAGCCGGAAAAAATCTGCCACTTCCTTATAGAGCCCCTCCTCCAACACACACGAACGCACACATGACCAATGAGGGCACGAGATAAGTTTGTGCACAGATGGAAGGCTGACAGGCAGGTAGGCCATCCAGTTATTTTAGTCGGGCCGGCTCAGATGATTGGTCGTGCTTTTTACAGTATTACAGCTTCCACAGATGACATTTTTTAATGGATTTTTTGTCAAAGCACTTCAGATATTCATTGCTATCGGGATGTTAAGAGCATTCCATGGAATATAACAAAAAGTGTATCTCGAGCCGGTTTCTCAAACTTACCTACCCCACCTTTAAATGCTTTGATAATAAATACATACAATATGTCATCTGTGGAAGCCGTAGTACTGTAAAAAGCACGACCAATCATCTGAGCCGGCCCGGCTAAAATAACTGGATGGCCTACCTGCCTGTCAGCCTTCCATCTGTGCACAAACTTATCTCGTGCCCTCATTGGTCATGTGTGCGTTCGTGTGTGTTGGAGGAGGGGCTCTGTGAGGAAGTCTGAAGGAAGGGGTAGATTTTTTTTCGGCTGCGTACTTTCAAATTCTCACGCACTCTAGCTGGTTTCTGCATTCTTACCAACCCTACCTTTAAGTGTAACAATGTCACCTCAGGTATCTAAGTGTTGTCATGTTTGCCTTGTTTCTTAGAAATGCAAATAAAAAAAATTATATAAAACCAAGATATTTCGTATCAACAATGTAGGAACAGTAATAGTTTACAAAAGATTCAAACATTAATCAAAAGCAGACTGTATTTCCGTTTCATTAATCAGGTGTCCACCTTCTATTAAAATATCATTTCAAATGTATTTATTTGATTTCTTTTTTCTCCTCGTCTGTTTTAGTTTTGTGGGTTTTACTGTGTTTTGTTCTAAATGTTTTGGTATCATCTCACCTGCTGAAAAAAAAAAGAAACATTGACAACTATTTAAAATAAAGAATGGCCTAAATATAAAGGAAATTAATTCAGTATGTCGACCTATAATATATCAACCTTTGTTTATCCTGCTAGTTATCTAAAACATTTTTTATTTAAGAGTAATCTGATGACTTTTTAATGTAATTGTAATTAAATACAGTTCCTTTTTTTGTATCCTGATGACGGGTCTCTCGTGGTGTGAGGTGAGGAAAAGGGGGGAGTTGACAGGAAACAAGGTCAGCAGGAGAGACTGCAGAAAGGTCGTGGAGGGGGGGAGAAAAGGAGGGAGAAAGAAAGGGAGAAGGAGATAGGAACAGACAGGTAGAGTTATTCTAAAGATATCTCCCCTATGGGGGGGGGGGGCGCAGGGTAATAGAGACACATGGACAACAGAGCAAGGTTAAACAGCTGATCTGAATTAACATGCAGGTGTTGTGCACGCATGCTAATGAAAAAGCTTTGAATTAATCAGGGTTTTCATTTAGGGGGGGGGGGGGGTTCTGTGGTCTGTGGTTACGACAATAACAAATTGATTTATCGATCGTTATTCAATTTACAATGCTGCTGCTTCTCCTTCATTGTGTTGGGTTTGTATAGGTCCGAGCAAATGGACGGAGCTCAATATCTGCGCTCAACGTAAACACTTCTAAATACCGGAAAGATCCTGATTTTGCAACCTCGTCGAATTATCAAACAAGATATGATTGCATAGTATATATAATTAGTTACTGTTAAAACCATTCAGGAATTTCAAATACATACATTTTGATTTATTTATGTATTCAATTGTTTTCCCTCTGTCTGAAACCAGAGCCCAGTCTGCTCTGATTGGTTAGCTGGCCCACTCTGTTGTGATTGGTCAACCACTTAGAGATGTCCCGCCTCTTAGCCTATCATGTACAATGTGTTGGAGTGCTAGCCAATAGAGTGCCACAGTGACGCGTCCTAACACCCGGAAGTAAACTCATTCCGGTTCCTTCGACAAAAACGCAATGCAATCTCTCCAGAGGGTTTTGGAAAACATCTGGAAATAAGGTCTGTGGTTGAGACACATTGAAGAGACGGATCACGTTTTGTTCAGCCGGATAATCTCCACATGTCGACCCTACTTTTATAATTTTCTAATCATAAATCTATCGATTAGATCGGTTTTTGTCGAAGGAACCGGAAGTGGTAAACTTGCTTCCGGGTTTTAGGACGCGTCACTGTGGCACTCTATAGGAGCGTGAGTGTTACAAAGTGATGTCATTATTTTACTGAAGTAAACAAAGGAGTTTTGGGCTTTTAGGTAGAGTGTGATAGAGAAACTCCCTCTTGAGTGAACAAAGAGATTTTAGCCTTAGAAGACCATTTACATGCACTAAAACCTATACAATACACTACAGCACACTAAGGCCTCTTTAAGGTGTTTCAATGCGTGGTTCTTGTTTAATAAAGACATCAAAAATGTTCTCTTAATGCTGAAAATGGAAATGGAGCCCATCATCAGCCTGTTGTCACCTGAGGCTGCGAGCACACCTTCAACAGACGGAGAGATACAGTCTACACCTTCATGCCTGAAGGGCTGAGACATCTCATCCCATTTTATCGGCTCTGATCACTTATCTTGTCCCATCTCCTCTCTCTGTCTCTCACTAACATCCCGGTGAATCTCATTTTTAAATCTCTGCCATGTTCCACTTACACACGCTCAGACCTCATTTCTGGGAATCAGCGTTTAAAATGGATTTCAAATAGAATTTCATGGAAAGAGGAACGATTACTCCCACATGATTTAAAGCAGCCTAGCTGAATGAACATGAGGCATAATGGGATATGCATATGGAATACTAGCTATATATTTATATAGAGTCAAGCATGTTATCTATATTACCATAACCCACACATTGCATGGATAACTTTGCATATATCAATTTAAACACACACATCTTACACAAGGGGTAGCGATCGCAGTGGTTCAAATACACATTTGCTAAATCTGGGGAATTAACAAGGGCATGGGCGGACTGGCCATCGGGACGTTCGGGACGAATCCCGATGGGCCGGTACTGAAGTGGGCCGCTCGGACGATGTGGGCCGCTCGGATAAGTCACTAGCACCCCCCCCCCCCCGCCCCCCGCCCCGTCGACAATTTCCTCGCGGTATTGACTTGCGGCACCGAGGTGGGCCGCTCGGATAACTCACTAGCAACCCCCCCCCCCCCCCTGTTGATAATTTACCGAGGTGGGCCGGCGGTACCGAAGTGGGCCGGTCGAGAGTCCTGGGCTGATTTGTAGTCCCAGTCCGCCCCTGAACAAGGGTGTGTTGGTATAACATTTGACATGAAAACAGACTGAATTGGTATCTAGAAATGAAGATAAATTAGGTCACAATAACGTGAAGAAATATGCCTGATCCATAAAGCATTACTTTATTTGGATATCATTAAAACACAGAGCTCCCATTAATCTATGAGATGGTCTGATTGTAATCTATACGCCTACTGCCTGCATTTGCTTTATGGTATTTCCATTTTTTTGTTTCATTTGCTAGTTTTTTTAATTCGGCAGGTGAACCCATTTCTTAATGTGTGTGTGAGCTTAAAGGGGCCCTATTTCATTAGTATGTATCTACTTTAAAGAGTCCTCTCCTGCTGATGTTCAGGTGTATATCAGTATGTAGTGTCTCTACTTTAAAGAGTCCTCTCCTGCTGATGTTCAGGTGTATATCAGTATGTAGTGTTTCTACTTTAAAGAGTCCTCTCCTGCTGATGTTCAGGTGTATATCAGTATGTAGTGTCTCTACTTTAAAGAGTCCTCTCCTGCTGATGTTCAGGTGTATATCAGTATGTAGTGTCTCTACTTTAAAGAGTCCTCTCCTGCTGATGTTCAGGTGTGTATCAGTATGTAGTGTCTCTACTTTAAAGAGTCCTCTCCTGCTGATGTTCAGGTGTATATCAGTATGTAGTGTCTCTACTTTAAAGAGTCCTCTCCGGCTGATGTTCAGGTGTATATCAGTATGTAGTGTTTCTACTTTAAAGAGTCCTCTCCTGCTGATGTTCAGGTGTATATCAGTATGTAGTGTCTCTACTTTAAAGAGTCCTCTCCTGCTGATGTTCAGGTGTATATCAGTATGTAGTGTTTCTACTTTAAAGAGTCCTCTCCAGCTGATGTTCAGGTGTATATCAGTATGTAGTGTCTCTACTTTAAAGAGTCCTCTCCTGCTGATGTTCAGGCGTATATCAGTATGTAGTGTCTCTACTTTAAAGAGTCCTCTCCTGCTGATGTTCAGGTGTATATCAGTATGTAGTGTCTCTACTTTAAAGAGTCCTCTCCTGCTGATGTTCAGGTGTATATCAGTATGTAGTGTCTCTACTTTAAAGAGTCCTCTCCTGCTGATGTTCAGGCGTATATCAGTATGTCGTGTCTCTACTTTAAAGAGTCCTCTCCTGCTGATGTTCAGGTGTATATGTAGTGTCTCTACTTTAAAGAGTCCTCTCCTGCTGATGTTCAGGTGTA